ACAACTCTAGATGTTTATTCTAGATGATAAAGCTAAAAGTGCATGTAAATAACAAAAGAAGATCTATAAAAAAAAAACAAAAACTCTTAAATGAAAACTCCAAACAAAAACAGTGACCAACTGGGATGTTATTCTTTAAAAAAAAAAAATCAAAAAAAAAAAATCAAAGTACAATGTTTTATATGTTTTTTGTTTTGTATTTACTTCAAAATGGAACTGTAAAATGGCATTGAATGTTTATCCTAATACAGGAACACAAGTGCCATTTTATCAGATGTGTTATCCTCCTATTATTCACGAGCATTTATAACTGAATATTAATTAAATTAGAAACTAAATCATTAAGTCGGGTCTTTCTGCCAGTAAGTCCCTCAGATTCAAGATGGTTTTGCATTTGCTTCTGCCAATGTTCCCCAGGGATAGTGTCCACTCTACTTTTTATGTAGGATCCAAGGCCACGGAGGGGCAAAAAATGGAACCTCAAACACTGGTGACAGCAAGGACATGCACCTCTGCAGCCCCCACGCCGGGCAGACAGGCCTCCTTGCTGTCACCCTGTGCGGGGGGATGGATGGTTTTCTGTTTCATCATTTCACTGAGATAGTATTCTTCTGGTCCTGGTTTGAGGTTGGGATGCAATGCAGTGAGGTTGGTGGTGGGGAAGCCCTCATTTCCAACTCTTTACCTTGCCCAAGCCCCATCTTCTGTCCCCATGGGGGACTTAACGGCGGATACAACTGCCAATTTGATTTTCAGTTCCCTCTTCCTTTTTTGGCCCCTGGAAATTTCCCTTACTTTCCTATGAGTTCAGTTATACATTTAACAAAGACTGTCTATTATATTTTAATCAGATTTCTGGGAGTTCTGTGGCGGAAGTACTTTTTAGATGATCTAAACAACGTTTCCAGAAATGAAAGACTGCGCTGCCTTTTTAATATCTCTAATATCTCCTAACCAAGTCTATTTCTACTGGCCATGCTGCTAGTTCATGCCAGAGTCCCCTATACTGTCTCCCTCTCTCGTCTTCCCGTCCACAATCCTTTCTATGGCCTTTGTCATAATTTTAAAATGCTGGTCTGAGCTGCCTGCCCTTCTACTTAAAAGTCTCCAAAGGCTCCTCATGCCTTCAGGATTAAGTCCAAAATATTGAGCAGGCTCTACAGGCTGCCATGATCTGGCACCATTTGCACCTGCAGCCTTGCAGCTCGCCGCCTCACTAGTCACTCCCACTGGATGACTTTTCTGTTCTGCAAAGCTGCCCTACACCCCTTCCCTTCCGGTCCCTCATGCCGGGGACATCCTGCTCTGGTCCCCCTAAATGGCCAAGCAGTCCTTCAGGTCTTCACTTAGGTATCATCTCCCAGGACCTTTCCTTGACTTCCCTTCCCCACTTCCACTATGGGATGGATCTCTGTCGGTCTGTCCATAACATCCTGTGCTTCTCCATGTCGTACCTGTATACTCTATTGGAGTTGTCTGCCTACTTGTATCTCTCTGGCTCTAGGATTTAATTTATAAAGTAAATTTCATCATCAGAAAGAGCAGTATGTATTTTCTTAAATAAATAAAATACAATTAATATACGGTTTAATTAAATTCAATCATAAGCATTTTACCAAAGGACTTTGTTTTAAGCTGGTCTCAACTGTAATGACCATAAACATGATGGGGAATGGGGGACAAAATGTAAGCAACCCTAACTGCTTATTTTTACGTAAAATCCTGCAGAAATCCTGAGGTCTTGGTTTGAAGAATCAGCTATTTTCAATTTGCCCATCCAAGTTATCTACCTATGACAGATATCAATTCCTAGTTTTCGTTAATCAAGACTTACATAAACACTTTTTCTTCTTGAATATAAAGTGACCCACAAATATATATATTTATTGGAAAGAGAAAAGTGTGAAGAAAATAGTATTAATTTAAACTGTGATAAATTGATGCTCACAAATTATAAACACAGACGGCTGCTTTTATCTATGGGGACATGCCAATCAACAGCTTATCAGACAAAAAGGGCAAATTCTAAAACCAACAAAGGGTGGTAAAAAGGTAGGCTATCACCTTGGAACGGTGAACCTGGGTCAGGTCTCTCTTACTTGTACTGCTGATGATCCTTTGTGCTTCTGGTTTTTGCCATGAACCTTTCCGCTAACTTCTCAAGGTTCCGGGAATATTCCGTCTCAATTTCTGCTTTTTTCCGGAAGAAATCTTGCAGGTCCTGGAGAAGCTGAACTCGCATCTCCGTTTGCTGCTCCAGGCATTTTTGTTGTTCTACCAGTTGAGCCCGAATTTCTAAGGAGAGAAGAAAATCTATGTGATGATGTCACGAAAATTACTGAGGTGTGCTGGTTTGCACAAAATGAAAGTCATGAGTCCTAATACACATATAGCTCTGTAGCGGACCTTTATGAAATGGCTGTGTCCAGGTCGGCTCTTTAAATAAAGTCCATGCTGACCCTTTAAAAGAATGACACAAGCCTCGGGAAAGACTGTAATAAATTAGAAACATGCGCTACATTCGCAATGCCACAAACACGCATGGAGTCACTAGGGGAAAAAATTAAAGCTTTTCAGATAACAATTCGTAACATGTGACATCTTTGGGTAGCTGAGCACATTGTAATTTTTTCCAACAGCATTTTACCTCAACTATCCCTTTGAGTTTGAATGGCAAAGAAGTGAGCATCATTTCTTCCAGACTTCTGAACCACCACAGATTTGCCAGTTGGCACATATGGACACTGACATCTGGTAATTTTTATTTACTGCATAAATTTCTAGTTTGTAAAACACATAGCTTCAGAGCTTATAGGGATGCTGTAGCTAAAAATAATTTCTTTCTACATCCAAATAATCCATTTATAATGGGGCTACCCTTGGATTCCATTTTATTGTTCTGCTCATCAAGAGCTCTTCACTTGGCCTTTACTTGGACACACTGTTCAAAGTAACAGCCTTATCAACATGTATATTCCTGAAAAGAATTCTTCCACAATTTTAATGCATTAGGACCATGATTATCAGTCATTCAGTGATTTCAGAAAAACAGAAAATCAGAAGTGTGTATTATAAAACTATCTGTAAATAACTATAACAATGAAACATGTGTTTTTGGAAAATGAGATACAGTAACTAATAACCACTGATTTGTTTTTGTTCTCAGATCCAGGGCTAACCTCCAAAGACAAGAATAATTTATTTGAAAAACTTCTTTATTTTCTCTTNTTTTAATTTGTACTTTTTAAGACACACAGGATATTTCTCTATTTTCTTCTTAATTCACATGCTCTTAGTTCTATGTTTTTTAAATTTCTCCTTTGTTTGAAACGTTTCCCCCCACCTTTACTAGAGAAGGATATTTCTCTATTTTCTTCTTAATTCATATGCTCTTAGTTCTAAGTTTTTTAAATTTCTCCTTTGTTTGAAACATCCCCCCCCCCTCTCTTTACTAGAGCAAAAGATACCTTGGAGTGTGCTAAATTCCATTTCTAGGTCAGAAATCAAATCTAACGTGGATACATTGAACATGACTAAGAAGTTTTCCAGCTGGCCTGCTTAACACTACGTCTTTGTTTTAAGGGGCCCCTTTAAAACATAAATATGTCATTAGTCTACAACGTGTTTCTCCCTTCACGTCCCCCCCCCGCCTTTCTGAAACTAGTAAGTCCTTACTGACTAGAGGTACAGATATTGGTATAGTACCACTAGTACAAAGCTGAGGTGGAGGGTGGGGGGGAACCCTTGTCCTATAAACATGAAAACTGAAAGCTAGTCTAATTGGGCAAGTAGCTGCGTTCTCTTCACAGGAAATGGTTCAATTTTGTTATTGTTCTCAACAAAAATGTCCAAACAACAAAAAAATTGCTGAGAGCTGGCTGAGACTAGTAACAATGATAAGAAGCCTTAAAAGCCCAGTTCCTATTTTTTTTAAAAATGGATTCGGGAAAGAGGAAGCTCTCTGGCAGGGAAGGGACAGAATTTTCTGTGCCCAGTGAAATTGTTTTCATGTCACTCCATCACAGCCTCTGCTGCTGATCTGGTGGGGAAGAAGTAGAAATTGTGATAACATTTTCCCGCGAGGGCAGCACATCTGCCTATCTTGTTCTTTACAAGTCTCTGATCATGAGTGAGCCCAACACACAGAATGTAAGCCCTTTCCTCTCTCGATCTGTTTTTTCATAACTGCAGCAGTCCGTTCCTAAGGAGAGAGGTGCAACTGGCAGTACATCTCATTTCAAAATTTTGCTCACATTGCTCAGGTCACAGATTCAGGGATTTAACTCTTCCTGTATGCTTGCTCAGGGTTAACTTCTTATTCTGTGTCTTTAAAAACTTCATTCATTTAATTTTTTACCTAAAATGGAGTCCAATTAAGTACTTAAGGCACCAGCCCTTTCTCAGTCGTGGTCCTAGGCAGAGTGGTTATAGGAAAGCACACTATGGCAGGAATGGTGGAGTATACCTTTTTAAACATCCTGGTGGAATCCTCACTTATCTGCATGAACCGCATAATCACATTGTTCAGATAGATGTCACTCAGGGTTGCATGGTCTTTGCTTTCTCTCCTCACTTGGTTTAGGAGCAAATACCAGCAGTTCACTGGAGACAACAAGTTCTGGTCTTTCCTAAGAAGTAAAGAAAGTCAAAATTACCATCAGTTTCAAGGCTGCCCCAAGCAGCTGAGGGAAGACACCAAAGCCAACGAGGGCCCCAACAGACAGGTATGCGGCTGTTATTTCTGCTCTGCATGGTCCTCATACCAGGGCATTCGACAGCCAGCGCTTAACAGGTTGTGACAGCAGAGCCAGCAATTTCCCAGGCTTGGAAGAAAGAACCTGGACCAAGAACGCCAGTCAAAACCCACACTCCTGGGGTGACTGGTTAGCTCATTTGGTTAGAGTGTGGTGCTGATAACACCAAGTTTGCTGGTTCTATCCCCGCATGGGCCGCTGTGAGCTGCGCCCTCCTTAAAAGAGTCAACTATGCCATTGTATCATGAAAACAATGTGTAACCAATGACCATGGCTGTTCCCTAGTAAAAACAAAAAAAGAAACAAAAAATAACTCCACACTCCTGACCGGGTCTTGGGACCCTCACATACAGCGTACTCAGGGAGGCTTTCAGCTTTAAATACCCACGGAAGAAAGCAGCTCATGTTTACACAAAAATCTATAGGCTCAGACAAACTGCTCTGCCACTGCACACAAAGCCTGCTTTGAATGTTCAGTCTGTTGCTGGAAAAAAGATGTGGCTGGGTATGCTTTCCATGGAACATAAATTTTGAGGGTTAGTTATGAATCCCCTCCCCCAAAGAATCAAAACGTTCTAACATTGTCTCAAGGCCCATGAACAGAACCAAAGAGTTTGCTGGCTTATATAACTTGTCACACATCCTGTTTAAGCCCACTGAACTATTTCAGATTTATAACAACTCTAGATGTTTATTCTAGATGATAAAGCTAAAAGTGCATGTAAATAACAAAAGAAGATCTATAAAAAAAACCCCAAAAACTCTTAAATGAAAACTCCAAACAAAAACAGTGACCAACTGGGATGTTATTCTTTAAAAAAAAAAAAAAAAAAA